AAGATAGTAGTACTATTGATAGTACTACAATCGATTCTGATACACATAGAGGTGCTAATAATTATTATGGCATCCTATTTTGATCAGAATCGCTGTGGAGTTTCCGGTTTTTTGATATAAATTCTTCTGGGGAGGAGCCGATTTTATATATATATCCACCCACCCACGGCGTCGATTTTTCGGGTTTTGATTATAATTTTCTTGGGAGAGACAGATATATTATTAAATCATCTCCTATAAAGAAAAATAAAAACAACCCCCGCAAAATCAAAGCTGTGAACGTATTAATATCTATCATGTTTTAATACCACTGGAACTATAATTCGTACTTAAAATAAAGAAACATTCAAACTTAAGAATAAAATACTTTCGTTCTTAAAAAGAAGAAAAAAAAGGTACTTAACCCCCTAGTTCCCGGCCTCAAATATGAGGGTATATTTTGACCTCGTCCCCATATACAGATATAAAGGAATTTGTATGGGGTTTCAATTAAGTCCGGATATCTCGGCGCGGGTTCGGGGTGGTAACAACGACTTGCCAGTGTGTATAGTACGGATTCTCCAACAGAAAGGAGGGTTTATGTAGTACATTGAGACGATCATATACAACTATGCTGTATAAATAAACATAAGATATGTACTGTTTATTGATTAGCCTATCTTTGTGCTGTTGCATACGTCCAGCAGCGGTGAGTTCATTTATTATAGCCAATAACAAGAAAGATCAAGTGCCGTATCAATTGATTGCTCCTTGCATAGACATGTACGACCAGACGGCGCAACCACTACGCCTCCTCCTCCACCGCTTCATCATCTTCTTCGCTCGACTCCCCAGCACCAGCACCAGCACTTGCTCCGCTCTCGCCTACCTGCTGTCTGCGTCTCCGCTTCTTGCCTGGCCGCGACGCTGGCGGTCGTTCACGTGTCCTGTGCTCTTGCAGTAGGTCGCGCGGGATGTCGTTGCCGTTGTTCCAATCAGCATGCCAAATGCTGAAGCACGTACTGACCCTGCCTTCACGCGGAACGTTGCATAGGTATTTACTAAATCAAAACGAGTTAGCCAAAGCTTACGGTAAGGGTACCAAGCGAGCTACGCACCGTTTGTTCCCGTTCGAGCACTCCGGGCAGAAGTATTTCGTAAACTTGCGAGGCTTGACCTTGTAGATGGCACAGACTTTGCATGATCGGTGGCGTCGCCTCACACCCTGCTCGCAATCGACAGTATCTGGGTTTTCTTCTAAACAATGTCCGTCGATAGCTGACGATGAGCTTCCTTGTAGCTGTGTTGAATCTGCTCTTGCCGGCGAAGGGGCAGTTCTATCTTGCGCAGATGTCGCTTGCTGTTCCAATACAGTCAAGCCCACC